TGGTAGGGTAAAAAGATTATGAGACATGTAGAGGCTCCTTAAGAGCAAAATGACGATTTGTAAGAACTATTTATTAGTCTAAACAAATAAAGAAATTTTGACTTTGACTTGACTTTGACTTTGAGTGATGTCATATCGCCAGCGGCAAACTTAAAGCGAACGGATAGTATGTAATAGTCCCGTTAACCCCTCGTGGCAAGCTAAATATGCTTGTGTTACGAGTGGGTTCACACATTAGTCCAGCGGCGGAGCTCGAACCAGCGTTCCTGGGATCTCGAGTCGGCTAGTCCGATACCTTCATCATTGGGCTGTAAAATTTATTATTTTATTTTAGGCTGGTTTGCACCAGCTTACTTTAACTTTAAAAAACGTCAAAAATCTGTCAAACTCCATACAAAAAACACCGGTTATTGTCATAGTTACAGTTAAAGTTAGGTGGTGTAACTCAGCCTTAATTCTCACCCCATTGCATTGAGGTTTGGAAGGCGTGTGTTGACGTGATAAGGGTGAAAGAGGGTTGATAATGTTGCCACCAATAAAATTATAATTTAGAACACACGTGACTCGTCAAGTCATTTTTATTGCGCTGGTGTTAGGTTCAAAATGAAATTTATTTTAACAAAAACCATCAATTTTCCAATGGGTTATTGCATTTTAAGAATAAAATCCGCGTAAGTCTTTTGAAAACAGTCACAATTGTAAAACGTTCTACTTAGGTAGGTATGTTTTTCTCGATTTCATCATACGTACTCATTTTCCATAACTATAATATTAAAACCAAAGGATAATATGTAACTTGAATAATAATCTACTTATTTTCGTAATATTCTTTCAGACACATTACTATAATACATTTATTATTAAAAGTCAATCCTCTTTTTTTTCTTAAGATTTTATTGTATCCTACTAAGAACTTGACCCTATTTCTCCCCTTCCACAATTAAAAACCAGCCCATAAGTAGTCAATGTAACATTTCGATTCGTCGTTTGATAGCAATGCGTAATCGTATCGCTCAAACTCTGAATATTTGTGACTCTATCTATAGAATTCTCAATACTCTATTATAAAGACAGCAAGTCTTCAGTCACTATAAAAAAATTGTTCTCACGGACGATATTTTAAGCGGTTTAAAATTAATCATACATATTTATATTATCATCTGTGACTTATCTCCCCTTCAAAGCTAAACTGGTAATGAATGCGCGAGCAAAGCCGCGGCACGCGCCTATTCACCCCAATGAATGTATGAAACAGATTAATTTCGACAATCTTGTTTATATTTGTACACTTCTACTGATTGTTGTTTGGGAAAGAGCTATATTACTTAAAAACAGTCCAGTAGTGGACGTCATTTAGCTGAAACTAACGAAAAAATTTGCTAAAATACATACACTCGAAAAACATAACCCTCCTTTTGGCGCAGTCCAAATATTCACCTAGGTACTAACTAAGTAGGTACCTATTTAATTAGTAAATTGTGAATAACTTTCATAGGTACAAGTACGAGATTAATACGAAAACAAACTTTCGGTGGTGCAATCAATGTATTAAAAATATTTTTACATTAATATTGAGTCATATTTATTTAAAGTCACGGTACTTTTGTACCTACTGTAATTCACTGACAAAATAACCGCCTAAAAAAGTTTGGGCTTGGAGTAAGCTCCACTGAAGACTGGCACTTCAGTTTTCCTATCCACAATCATGAAGAAGAAGGGTTTGTTTGCCAAAAAGTTCTCAGCCTGAACTGAACTCCTGAAAGAGAAACCCATCTCTGTCACTGCTGCAGCCACCGTCCCTTCCTCTGTCACCTCCACATCTGCCTTTTGAATGAAGCTAGAAACATGCAGCTGGTAATCCGAAATCTCAGGGAATCTCGCCCTGTTAGCGTCAAACATATCCCTCAATCCCATATCAATTAAAAGCTCCTTCAAATTATCCAAA